TTTATAGCTTAGGTAAGTATCAAAGGAGCCTGACTTTTTCTAGGATCTCAGTTCTGTTACAGTTAAATCCAATCCTATGGGCACAGAAAAATCTGAAACAAGTAAAAAATTATCTGATACATTTTAATATACTATATCCATATCAACATTATTTCCTGAGTTACCTCTAAAGTGCCAGAAAAAAAGGTATATTGTAATACAGCATTTTATTGATATCCTAGAAAAAAAATACTATTGCTTAAGAAATATCTTGTTTAGAAGTCCTGAGTTATATAAAATGAATCTCTTCTTTCCTTTTAAGGCACAAGCTGCGGGGGTAATCCATTCATCCTTCTGTTCGCTCAGCAACGCCATCAACGTGTCCATGGGGGAGTATTTATTGGAAAGTGCAAATAAACTGTTTGGAGAGAAATCTGCAAGATTCAAGGAAGTGAGTGAAACCTGCGATCTAAATGGCAGGGCCCCAAACTTGCAAGGAGGTCACTTTCAAAGCTGTTTTCTCTCATTCATTCCCAGAGGGTCAGATTTCCACTCAGGCTCGCTAAGGCTCCCCAGAGCCATGGGACACGGTCCAACACAGCCATGCTTATGCTCCCTCCGTGGGTGCTTCCTATTTCTACTGTAAAAACTCCATATGTAAAGTCACAAGAAGGTGTGCACAGGTGTTCCCAGAACTGCCAACCCCACGCCCAGCCTCTCCCTCTGCACTCGGTGTTCATCGTGCAAAGTATGTAGGAGAACAAAGGCAGTTGGTACTGGATTGCGGGGGTCAAGAGAGCACATAATCAGCCCCCAGCCAACCTCCCCTTACCCTGCTTCAGGCTCCCCAGTCTTGACAGGAAACCTGTAATTTACAAATACACCGCAGGTGGTTGGATATCCTGGAGGAGGGCATGACAGCCCACTCCAGTATTCTTGGCTGGAGATTCCCATGGACAGAGGAGACTGGCGGGCTATAGTCCATGGGGTCACAAAGAGTCGGACACAACTGAGCAGCTAACACTTTCACTTTCACTCGTTGGGTATATGTTCTAAGTAATCTTGTCATTATTTTTTCGCTTTAAAGGAATACATGCAACTCTCCAAGAAATATTACTCTATAGAACCCCAGGCAGTTGACTTCCTAGAATGTGCAGAAGATGCCAGAAAAAAGATTAATTCCTGGGTCAAGACTCAAACCAAAGGTAAAACCAAGGAAATAGTTTCTGCTCTTCTTGCCACATAGAAAACTCTGTGTTCTTTTTTTTTTTCATCCTGAACTTAGCTCTTACTCCTAACCTTAGTTATTTTGGCTAATGTAACCTGATTCTTGTTGAGCTTTGTGGTGTTTGAAGTAAGAAACAAATAATCAAGGTCTACTAATAGAAGATATATATTCAGTACTTCAATAATCTGGTTTGGATTATTAACGAATAGAGTGTAAGAAGAGGCAGATCTTTTCTAATTTAGGAAATATCAGTATTGAAATAATTGTGACTTTATGTTCACTGCAAACAAAAGCAAAGATAAAAGGAACAATATTCAACTGAGTAATTGGTGTGAGAATACGGGCAATGGAAAAGGAGGGATCATAAAATTTTAGCTCTTTCTTCTATTTCACCATCCAGAGTCAGTATGTTGTCCAGTTCTTTCAGTCCCTTCTTGATCTCCCATTAATCATCTAAGCTACTTCTACCTTTATTATGCATGTCCTCAGTTCTTAACCGACTCATCCAAGATCCCACTCTCTGTTCATGGTGCAGCTGGGGTTTCCTCTTCTTCTGAGCCTTAGTCTAATTCTGGAATTCTTCAAATAAGTGTTTAAAGAGTTTGATACCTTAATGCAGAAAACATATTTTCACTTATCTCCTATGCTTATTTATTTACTTTTAAATACATTTTTATTTGGCTGTGTTGGGTCACAGTTGTGGCATGTAAAATCTAGTTCCCTGACCAGGGATTGAACCTGGGCCCCCCAGCGTTGGCAGCATGGAATCTGAGTCACTGGACTACTAGGGAAGTTCCTGCCTCCTATGTTTAAAACATTATTTCAAACCATATTATGCTATCCTGATTTATTAGCTACCATAATATAAAAAGCACTTGTATTAAGTTCTGTAGAATTGAAAATAGAATTATTGTTTCTCTAAAAACAGTTGGCCTACTTTAGTTCTTCATTTCTAGATTTTTAAATTACTGCTCTGAAAGATTGATGCACCACTGACAAAAAGGAAGCAGAGAAAGTGAAGATTTAACAAAAATGAAAGTCAAAGCAGATTGCAAAATCAAAGAGATGCATGAAAGCTTTGCTTTTTTGAGAACAGCAAGAATTTCTCTTCTTTCTAAGTGTTTGTGGTGAATGGCTATAAATCAATCAGTGAAATTGCAAAAATGCCAAATAGTCATTTAGACAGATTGTTTTACCAATTTTAATAGTAATTTGAGAAAAATTTCTTTTTTCCTTGTTATGATCAAATATTATGTGTCACAAAGTTAAATAAAGTCTCAGTAGATTTCCAAGTAGTAACCAGGAGTTTTAATTACTAAGGGTTATACTGAATGAAGATATTGAATAACTATACTGAAACTGGTCAGACTATAGTGACCTATTTGCCTGAGTCTTGTATGTGTCAGCAGAAATGGAAGATGGTGGAATTCTGACCAGCTCTCAAGCATTGTGACCTTGGAAAGATTACTAATATCTCACTATGGTGTCTGTTTGTGTTGTTGTTCAGTTGCTAAGTCATGTCCAACTCTTTGCCACCCCATGAACTGCAGCAAGCCAGGCTTCCCTGTCCTTCACTATCTCCTGCAGTTTACTCAAACTCATGTCCATTGAGTCAGTGATGCCATCGAACCATCTCATCCTCTGTTGCTGCCTTCTCCTCTTGCTCTCAATCTTTCAAGCATCAGGGTCTTTTCCAATGAGTTGACTCTTCCCAGCAGGTGGCCAAAGTATTGGAGCTTCAGCTTCAGCATCAGTCCTTCCAATGAATATTCAACGTTGATTTCCTATTTGTGTAAAATGACACTAATAATACTCCCTTACTAGAATGGTTGTGAGGATTAAATAAAATAATGTGCTTGAAATATTGCAGAGCAGGTATTCACTATAAAAGGGCTGTTTCTTAAACCAACTTAAAAAAAAATCACACTCAGATATTATCACTTCTGGGAACTTTCTTGGACTCAGTCATTCACTCCGTTCTCTGTGTTGTTGCAGTTTTCTGCATTATTCAGCTCTCTTAATAGGACTCACTTCACTTTCTTCCTGAATGATTTAGAATGTCTCTTCCAATATTCTAAGCCTGCCCTGCCCCCAGGACAATTTTTCCTTTATTACTTCATGAATGTGTGCTATTCCTGATGTAGGTGTAGCACAACTTCCAAAACACTGTTTTTGGATGAATCAGTGAGTTAGACCTGTGGGCTGTCTAGACCAGATCTAGAAGGAGGCCTACTGACATACTGGGGAAATGTGCTATTGAATACCTTGTTAGTGTCAGTCGATCAGTCGTGTCCGACTCTGCGATCCCATGGACTATAGCCCGCCAGGCTCCTCTGCCCGTGAAATTCTCCAGGCAAGATTACTGGAGTGGGTTGTCATTCTCTTCTCCAAGGGATCTTCGCCATGCAGGGACTGAACTCAGGTCTTCTGCATTGCTGGCAGATACTTTACCATCTGAGCCACCAGTGAAACCCATTATACTCCTTGAGTCTCTTTTTCACTCCTATCTGAATGAACTAATTTCATATAACTATAAAACTTTGAGAAAACAGTATAAAAGGAATTTAAAAATTCCTGGGACTTCTCTGGCAGTCCAGGGATTAAGACTCTGTGATCTCAAAGCAAGGGATACAGGTTCAGTTCCTGGTCAGAGGAATAAGATCCTGCATGCAGCACAAAGGAAAAAAAATTAAAAGAAATTAAAAAAAATTTTTTTCCAAGTCTGATAGCAATTCTAAATCTTAATTACATTACTTCTTCATTTGCTCTTGAATTTTGCAAACCTGAAAAATTTGGTCTGAGTTTTACCTATGTTTTAAATAAATTAAGAGAAAAATTTGAATGTGAATATCAACGTCACTGCAGAGTTCAATAAATGTGTATGCTAAGCTAGATGGTGACTCAAAAGATTCAAGAAATCATAATGACTTCATAATTGTTAATCATGAAACATAAACATATATCATATTTTCTGTAGGCAAAATTCCAAACTTGTTACCTGAAGGTTCTGTTGATGCAGACACCAAGATGGTCCTGGTGAACGCTGTCTACTTCAAAGGAAAATGGAAGACTCCATTTCAGAAGAAACTAAAGGGGCTTTATCCTTTCCGTGTGAACTCGGTATGAGACAATGACAACAAAACAGATTTTCTTAGCATATATTTTAAGGTCTTTGACAAAATAGAGAAAGAAAAAGTGGGACCACTTATTGATACCCATATATGGTTTGCTATTAATAGCTATATACACACTGGATAGTTGATTTACTCTTTCAGGTTACTGAATGGCACTTAGTAATTTTCTGAGAGGTCATATGAGTAATGGTAAGGACCATGGGCTTTATAATTACACAATCTTGCACTCATATGTAGGCTGTACCAACTAAGATGTTACTTGTGGTTCATGCACTCCTTTTTTTGATCTGTGAAACTAGGATGATAATATCCAACTCAAAATGTTGTTGTAAGGATTCAATGAGATTTTGCAGAGTTCTTGACCCCTAGTAGGTACTGAACAAATGTTTTAGTATTTAATTATAATTGTCCATCTTATTTCTAATGGGTATAATCTTGAAAAAACAAAATAGATCAGAGTCACTGTGAGAGTATACAAATAATAAATTTTTATTTTTTAAATATATTTTGATGTTTTTAAACAAATTTCGAAACAAATTTTTAATTAAAAAAATCTATTTCTTTAGCATGAAAGCAGAACCCTTTCTCTTTTATGTCTGATTGTAAATCTTTTGACATCTTACTATCAACTTTCATATTTTACTTTTTAATTACTTTAGACTCAGCACAAATCAGTAGAGATGATGTTCCTGCATGAGAAGCTAAACATTGGATACATAGCAGACCTGAAGGTCCAAATTCTAGAACTCCCATATGCTGGAGAGGTCAGTATGTTCCTGCTGCTTCCAGATGGAATTGCTGAATCCTCTACAGGCTTGGAGTTGGTAAGAATTCCAGCTTCCATTGTTTCAAACTTCTGGGGCTAAACTCGCCTTTGCACATGTCTGCTGTTCTGGTTGCTGTTCAGTCGCTCAGTCGTGTCCGACTCTTTGAGACCCCTGGACTGTAGCCTACCATACTCCTCTGTCCATGGGACTTCCCAGGCAAGATTACTGGAGCAGGTTGTCATTTCCTTCTCCAGGGGATCTTCCTGCCCCAAGGATCAAACCCACATCTCCTGCATTGGCAGGTGGATATGTTATCACTGAGTCACCTGGGAAGCCCTTGCACATGCCTACATCTGAGGAAATGGTGTGCAGTTTGAATATGTGAACTTGTTTGAGACGAACTGTGCCAGGTTTCCCAGTCATTCAGAAGCCTTAAACATGTCTCATATATGCTATCTTCTTACAAAATTTTTACCGAACTATTAAATTTTAATATCACCTACTTTACTTTAATATAGTAAAGTCATTGGTTGTCAACATTAGAGGTTGTTGTCCTTCTCGGCTAGCACTCAGTGGTTTTATCTTTTGAATTCGTAGCTGGAGAGAGAAATCACCCATGACAAACTCAGCAAGTGGCTCAGCGAGGACACCATGGGTGAGGATGACGTGGAGGTGTACATCCCCAAGTTCAGACTGGAAGAGCATTATGGACTCAAGACCATTCTCACGAGCATGGGCATGGGCGATGCCTTCAGCCAAGGCCAAGCCAATTTCGCAGGCATGTCAGAAAAGAATGACCTGTTTCTGTCTGAAGTGTTCCATCAAGCTTCTGTGGACGTGAACGAGGAGGGCACTGAGGCTGCTGCTGGCACTGGGGCCATTGTAACAGGGAGAACAGGCCATGGAGGCCCACAGTTCGTGGCAGACCATCCTTTCCTCTTCCTTATCATGCACAAGATAACCAAGAGCATTCTCTTTTGGGGCAGATTTGCATCACCCTAAATTGAAAATTTCCATTTCTGCACAGGAATTTGTAATATGAGGTACAAGTCTCAGGATTTTTGCAAATGCCAAAACTTTAGAGACCTCTGCATGTTTCTGCCTTTCTGAACTTTTATTACATACTAACTAGAAACACAGACATAGTGTGACTGTCAATCATAACATTACCCTCCCCATTAATCATTTGGCCTCCTAAAATGGGATGATATCTCATTTAGCTCTTTCTTACTCTCAGTTTATTTTATAGCATTAACTTCTACTGTATTATTTATTGTTTTATATCTATATATTTTATTATGGTCACCGTCTACTGTAGCTGATACATTTACAGAAGCCAGTCATCACTTATTTTTATTTCTAAGGAAATATATGTATTTGTGGGCTTCCCTGGTGGCTCAGAGGGTGAAGAATCCACCTGCAATGCAGGATACCTGAGTTCGATCCCTGGGTCAGGAAGGTCTCCTGGAGAAGGGAATGGCTACCCACTTCAGTGTTCTTGCCTGAAGAATTCCATGGACAGAGGAGCCTAGCAGGCTACAGTCCATGGGGTTGCAAAAAATGAGACATGACTTAGTGACTAAGCATGCAGGCATATGTTTTGTTCTTAAAATGAAGGATACGTAGGTGGACTTCCATGTCCTTTTGTAATAGAAACCTAGAAGAAAGCATTGAACAACAGGGAAATATTTATTGTATGCATTTCTAGCATTATGTATCCCATACATGTGGCTGTAACTTATGTAAGGTTTCAAAAATATAGAAAATAAACCTATTTTCACAAACCATTTGTTTGTTTACATTCTATTAGGTCTTTAGATTATAAGATCTGGTTATCTTGTTTCTCAGAAATCAGGCATCACAGCTTGTTTGTGAGAACCAAGTAAATAGAATAAAGGAGCCAAGGGAACAACCAACTGTTTTGCAAGGGGCCCCAGTGTTGGGGGTGGAATGAAGCTGTGTGAAAAATTGATTAGAACTGCCTTCTCATAGAAGCAAAAATTATAGCAGTTCAAAAGGGTAGTTTGGGTCAGCGTCCTTTGGGGACCCCTGTGTTCAAATCAGGACATCAGACATAAACACTGAGTCTAGTGGTGCAGACATAGCATCAAGGTCAACTCAGTGAGTGCGTTGAGAGAGAGAGCTCAGAGGGGTAGAGGAGAGCTGGGCACAAGGGTGGAAGGAAAACATAAGCTGACTTCTTTTAAGCGTGTTTGTTTCGAATAGCGCTGAATAGTTTTGAGTGGATCAGCAGCACAGAAAAACATAATTTAAGTCCTGAGAAATAAGGAAGATCTGAGGTTTAGGGAGTTTGACCTGGCTGCAGAAGCGTGGCTGGATCCTGAAAATGCATTCCAGGCACTGCTGTCTTTATGATGAAATCCAGGGATGGGTGATGCACTGGAGCATCATGGCTAAAGATGTAGCCTTATGACCTTGACTTAACTGCACCCAAACCCCAGTTTGAACACTTAGGAGTCCTCTAACCACAATCTGGGAAGGATGCTTATTCCTGCTTCAGTTTTCTTCCAGTGTAAACTAGAGAAAACAGTGCTTTTCTCATAAGGTTGTTCTGATGGTGGAATGAATCCATACGTAACAAGAAATTAAACGAATGCTTAGCACATACAGTACTTAATAAATACTAGTGAGTATAATTATTTTCTTAGTCCGCAATAAAACTGTCTCATTGTCAGCTGGTCAAGCATAGAGTCCCCCAAAATTATTCAGCTAATTCTTTAAGGCTTGAATTGTGATTTATCTCCTCTAAATCAGACATTCTTAAAAATTAGAGGTTCTTCCTTGCTTTCTCCTACTTACTTTTAGATTCATTTAAAAAATGTATTTTACCAATTCATTCAGCAAGGTGACAAATAGTAACTTTCTGAATCATTGTGAGGTTGTGAGTCTTAAGATATATATCACCATCATTACTGAATTAGAGCATGAGCGTAGAATTCTAGGTTCAAAGTGTTCTTCACACTTTGTTGTTATTCAGTTTCTAAGTCATGTCTTACTCTTTGTGACCCCATGGACTGCAGCATTCCAGGCTTCCCTGTCCTTCACTATCTCCCTGAGTTTGCGCAAATGCAAGTCCATTGAGTCAGTGATGCCATCCAACCATCTCATCCTCTGTCATCCCCTTCTCCTCATGCCTTCATTCTTTCCCAGCGTCAGAGACTTTTCTAATGAGTTGGCTCTTTCATCATGCGGTCAAAGTATTGGAGCTTCAGTTTTAGCATCAGTCCTTCCAATGAATATTCAGGGTTGATTTCCCTTAGGATTGACTGGTTTGATCTCCTTGCTGTCCAAGAGACTCTCAAAAGTCTTTTCCAGCTCCACAATTCAAAAGCATCACTTCTTCAGTGCTCAGCCTTCTTTATGGTCCATCTCTCACATCCATACCTGGCTATTGGAAAAACCCTAACTTTGACTGCAGTGACTTTTGTGGGCAAAGTGATGTCTCTGTAGTTTTGCTTCTTATAGTTTAAACTATTAAAAGTCAATAAGTTTATTTTTGTTTTTGATGCTGTTCTTGATATTTCATTGCATTAGGAGTCCTTTTAAATAGTTTTCAAAATTTAGCTTATTCATCAGGAGATGTTTTCCATTTGGAAACCTGTGTCTTGGTTTAGTTCTGGGAAAGTCTTAGCCACCACTATGGCCTGGATATTTGTTATCCTCATTCCAACACAGATGCTGAAACCCTAATCCCTGATGCAATGTAGTTTGTAGGCTGGGTCTTTGGGGGATAACTGGAATTAGAATTGGTCATGAGGGTGAGCCAAGGCTGTAACCAGCGTTCTTGTAACCAGGAAGGGTTAATTTTGAATTCACAACGGATCTGCTCTGTGACTTTAATCCTTATCTTGCCAGTTCTGTTATTATAGGCATTATACATAGTGGTCCGCCTCAGGGAGATGACTTGACTCCGCCCACTTGTGAAAGACTGTGACATTCTTAAATTCTTTGTGTGGCAAATGGTGGAGCCCCTCACCTGCTGCTTACTGGCGTGGCCCAGAAATTCACATTTGGGGAGGCGGGAATTGCAGATAGATGCAGCATCTTTGTTTGTTGATATGACAGGAGATATTCCATTTCACACCACCCATGAAATCACTGTAACAAAGTGAAACCAACACATCCCCCTGCCTGAGGCTTGCCATTCTCAGGAACATTTGCAAGGTGACATTTTACTTTGTTGCCTCACCACCTCCCCGTCTCCGATCCATAAAAGAACCTGGCATCTAGGCTTGGACAAGATGGTTATTTTGAGGTGCTAGCCTACCATCTTCTTGGTCAGCCAGCTCTCGAATAAAGTCCCTTCTTTGACTTAACACCTTGTCTCGGATTTATTAGCTTATCATGAGGCGAGCAGAGAGAGCTTGGACTCTGTAACACCTATGCGTGCTAAGTTGCTTCAGTCATGTCCGACTCTGTGCAACCCTATGGACTGTAGCCCTCTATGCTCCTCTGTCCATGGGAGTCTCCAGGCAAGAATACTGCAGTGGGTAAGCCATTTCCTCTGCTAGGGGATCTTCCTGATCCAGGGATTGAACTTGCATCTCTTATATCTCTTATATCTCCTGCATTGGCAGGTGGGTACTTTACCACTAGTGCCACCCGTGAAGTCCCGGTGACTTATAGAGAAAGGAAAGAAAGACAAGAGCTCTCAGCTAAGTAAAGACAAGGAGGCAACCACCTGTGAGACAGGAAGTAAGCCCTCACCAAGCACCCAATCACACTGGCACCCTCATCTTAGACCTGCAGTGTCCAGAACTGTGAAAAATGTATGTTCACCAGGCACCTAGTCGGTAGTGCCCTGTTACCCGACCTGTGGTTGAATGACAGCCATCATCCACACAATTGTCTCGGCTCCACTCTATTTCCTCTCTTCTTCTGGTTTCCATTTGAATAATCCTGATGGACCTAGAGTTCTTTTTTATGTTCTAACAGATTTTGAATACTTAATAAATTCCTGCAATCTTAACATCAAATATTGTAAAAACGAAACAAAAGCTAGAGCAAAACTCTCCTTTTACACCTGTTCTCCATTCATATAGCTCCTATTCCTTCATTCTCATTAAGAATATTGGTACATATTGCTAAACGTACACAGGGCAGGCCATAACTAATAACAATAAATAAACATATGAGCAAAATTCTGCTGATGACTTAGGATAGCATTACCTCTTTCCCAGTCTGCTCCAAACAGCCATCAAAACAATGCAAAACCAAAATTTTATCAGTATAGCTAGTATGTGTGTGCTGTGCTCAGTCACTTCAGTTGTGTCCAATTCTTTGCGACCCCGTGAATTATAGCCCACCAGGCTCCTCTTTCTGTGGGATTCTCTAGGCAAGAATACTGGAGTGGGTTGTCATGCCCCCCTTCAGCTGGTCTTCCCAACCCAGGGATCAAACCTGCATCTCTTATGTCTCCTGCACTGACAGATGATTCTTTATCACTGGTGCCACCTGGAAAGGCCACTGGTGCCACCTGGGAGGCCCATAGCTAGTATATCAATATATAAAGATGTCATTTTAGTACTTATTTATTTTGGGTTGTGCAGTGCAGCATATGGGACCTTCATTCCCTGATCGTAGATTGAACCCATTCCCCCTGCAGTGGAAGTGCATAGTCTTAAACAATGGACTGCCAGGAAAGTCCCTAAAATTTTTAAACAAGAGGTAAGTGAGAATGGAATCTGGAGAAGGTTTGTGGAGAAACATCAATAAAACCTAGTCTGTGGTTTTAGCGAAGAGGTTTTAGAGGAGATGAAACAATTTCTTGTTTGATCCCTCCAAATCTATATAGATGCATTGAATGTAATGCAAATAACTAGATCTGTGCAGTGATATAGCCTGAGTCACTCTCTGGTGAACCACTGGCAGTCAAGGTGGACAGTCCCTCTATCTGGAACCTCCATGTGATGCGTGTGTGTGCATGTGCGCGCTAAGTCATTTCAGTTGTGTCCAACTCTTGGCGGCCCTATTGATTGTAGTCCACCAGGCTCCTCTGTCCATGGAATTCTCCAGATAAGAATACTGGAGTGGGTTGCCATGGCCTCTTCCAGGGGATCAGACCCAGGGATTGAGCCAATATTTCTTAGGTCTCCCGCACTGGGAGGTGGGTTCTTTATCACTAGTGCCACCTGGGAGGCCTTGAGATCTTCCTGACCCAGGGATCAAACCCGCATCTCCTGCATTGGCAGGCAGGTACTTTACCAGACCTAGTAACTGCATCTAAAACATCCATCCAGACCCCATGTCCCTGGAGTGGGGACAATGGACACCAACTAGTTAGAGTTAGAGTTATGCTTGGGGGTCGACACCAGAGCCCAAATGAGAAGAACAGAAACATTTCTTGGATACTTCACTTAATACCTTGTGAGCAATTTAAAAGCAAAAATTGCTGTTTATAATAATGATAATCTCCATTTCATTGCTCATAATTATTCTACTAACTTAAAACTTTCTGATTTTATGGGAAAAAAAATATCTAGGGGAAGTCACTAATCGCTGCCAGTTGGCAGACTAGGGAAAACATGAAGCCAGGAATGTGTGAGTTACAATTTGTCAGAATTCCAGGTTCTATGTACAGACAGACATGGAAAATGTGGGCAGTTGGGTAATTGAGGCAAAACCTTGTCTATCTCTCTTTTTATCTGAGCTTCTGGCCAAGATAAACTTGAAAGGAAGAGTGTATGGTCTTGTAAAAGTGAATCAGAGGGTGGGGTTAAGAAAAGGGTTGAGCTAAAATTGCTAAAAATTACTCCTACAATTAAGAGTTACTTAACTCAGCCACAATCTCTTACTAAAGGAACCCACTGCCAATTCTGCTCCAAGTGGAAATAAACAAGGTATTGTAGATATTTCTTTGTTTAAAAATGTTTATGTTTTCTTCCTTCATTGAACTGCCTAGATGAATAACAAATTATCAAGACCTCCACAGGACAGAAATGATAGTTGAGGCCATCCCCTAAGAGTTCTGTGCAAGTCTGAGAGATTTAACCCTGAACTGGTTCAAAGATTGTGCTGGGAAAGGCTAAGCAGGAGAGTGCTTTCATTTCCAAAGATGTGAGAGAGGTGGTTTTACCATGAATTGTGAAATTATGAATGATATTTTTTTCTAGTCACATTTTTGGATTTGCTACCTTTGTATCTGTCAACAGGGGCAAAAAGAAATAGGATATTCTCAGAATGATTGAACCAAAACCCCTCTATCCCTTCAAAAGAGTGGACTTGGCACCATGAACTTGATCTCACTCATTTGTGTAGGGAACTAATGATTTGACTCTCTACCCCCTACCCCTACCCAACTTCAAGTCTTGGCTATCACTCCAGGGGCCATTAGCTTTCTTCTCTTTCATGGAATAATCAAGACCCTAACCTTACACTACATGCTCATCAGAAACCCTCCCAGACTATTAATTCCTTCAGAAATGGCTTCAGGTAAACTCAGAAGTGCTGGAGGTGTGGAGAGGTCATTTGCTGATATGCATGACTCCACCAAGCAGGCAGTATTATCAGCACCCTGGGAAGGTCAGGAGGCCTTTACTGTCCTCTAACAGAAAAGAAGAGCAGAGTCCTTCCTGCTCCCTCCTCCTGCTCACCATCACTCCTCCTTTCTCCCTCCTCTTGTTCATCCTCTTCTGTCATCCAATCCCTCCCTTTCACAATAAAACCTTAAAGGCAATAAAATATAGTGGCAAAAGGATTTGTATTTAGAGTCCAGAGACTGAGATTGCAATGATAGCTCTGCTGTTAGGTAGCCATGCATGTTAGCACATTTTACCTCTCTGGGCCTTAGTTTCCTAGCAGATAAAATGAGACAATTTGATTAGGATTAGAAGAGTATTTCCAACACTGATTTTCTGGGAATATGTGTATCTATAATGAGACATTTTGATGAATGATACTATTCTTTTCTTATTTTCATATTTCTTTAGTTAAGCCCCTTTACATATATTAAAATATTACATATTTTACATAAATGCATGGATACTGATATATGGATTAGGAAATGACAACTCACTCCAGTACTCTTGTCTGGAAAATTCCATGGACAGAGGAACCTGGTAGACTACAATCCATGGGGTTCCAAAGAGTCAGTCATGACTGAGTGACTTAGCAGGCATACTGAGGCATCTATGTACCTCCCGGAAACTGCAAAAGAGCAATTCATTCTGAAAAGGGCACACTTGGTTTTGGGTCTAGACTTTAGTCTTAATGTATAGTCCTCTCTGAAAAGATCACTCTTCATCCCTTAAA